TTGTTCCCACAGTGGCACAGGGATTCTCCTTCAGCAAAGTCAGCCTGCTCATTGTCATAGTCACCTTACCTTCTGCTCCTGTGCTTCGTGAGCTCTAAGAGGCCTTGGCTGTCTGTCCACTGCTATTTACTCAAGGTCAGGAATTTTTCAGTACATATTGCTCCATGACATAACAGATACAGACTCTGCCTTATCTGCAAGTATTCTAGGCACAGTTAGCTGCATATTATCTCAGTTCCTTCTTCTGGAAAACTGGAGATGTCCCAGGAGTTGTCCGTCGGTTTACCATCATCTATCCGTGTCCGCCTCATTCTGCTCGTGCTCTCCAGGGGCCAGCTTCACCGCTTACTTCCTCCTCCCTCATAGACCATGTCCGGCACCTGCTGAGAGCCCCTTTGGGTGTAGTGAGCTCACTGGGGATTCTGGATCTTCCTCTGCAGATCTGATGCGGTAGGTCATGTCCACAGCTAGCGTGCTGCTAGGTAACCAGTCAGTTTCAAGTTCTCCCCATCAAATACCAATCGTTGTTTTGTGGTCATTCCTGCTGCCATGGGTTTTGGAACTGGAGTGTATGATCTAGAACATCCTTCCATCTTAGGGCCATGGTTGGCATTACAGCTAGAGAAAGTGAGGCCAGGGGAAGGAAAATGGAAAGCGAGGAGAGGCTGTACCCTGACTGCATGATAAATATTACAAATACTTCCTTCCTCACTAGCTCCCTTGCTTTATTTATTTATTGTTGGTTGGTTGGTTGGTTTCTCCATCCTAGGGCCTTGCATGCAGTAGGCAAGTGCTACACTGCACAGCCATGTCACAATTCAGTAGTTATCTTCTTAAAAGTTAATTTCAGCAGGATAAAACTTAACCTCATTTTAAAATAAATGAACCTTATTTTCTTGTTGAAGAAACAGGGACTCAGAAAAGTTTACTTTTCTTAAGATCCTCTGAGCAGTTAAGAGATGTAATTAAGAGTCAGCTCTAGGCCTCTGGTTCTCCGAGGGCTGTGTATTTCCTAAGTCACGTTCTCCTGCCCACTAGTTCTTGAGGTTCCTCATACCCAGATCCAGCTCCGAACCAATGTAACCCCCGAACTCATATCTTCTAACTCCCAGGTTCTGTTCTATTCATTTAAAGTCTCTTATCAAATCACATGTCACTAAACCCAAAGTGCCAGAAAAAAACACAGGAAAAGTCATAATTTCACAATGTAGGATGTACACACACACACACACACACACACACACACACAATGATATCTTAGACCTGAACACGGAAGGATATTGCATCTACTCTTTTTCTGTTGGGGAGGAAGAAGCTTTTTTTTTTTTTTAAATTCAGTGAAACAAAAAATGCATACTAAAGACATACTATGTGTCAGTGGATGAGACAGTAAAGCAATAAATGTGAGCCCTGGGCATTATGTAGTGGTAAAGTCTAGTCTAGCATGCGGGGCCCTTGTTCCATCCCCAGCCTTGAGAAAAAGAAAGTGTTTTTTTTTTTAAAGGTTGTAGTGTTTGTTATCAGTAACGTGTTCACTATGTTTAGAGGGAGATGTGACCAACAGCGGTGAGGACTAGAAACCAAAGTGCACTTGTCCCGGTGCTGGCAGAATGGAGGGGAAATCCTGCTGCCTGTGTGCTGCTGTGCTTAGCGAAGACCCTGTGGAACGAGGATCTTGGCTTAGGTGTTTACGGGTGCTGTGGATTTCTTCAGCTGGAAATAAAAACATCGTTCCGCAGAGTTGTTCCACAGATGAATCCTGTGCAGCCCCTCCTCTGCGGAGCTCCACTAACGGCTCCTGGAAGCCTGGGCCTCCTCCAGCCTCCCTTCCCTGCCCCAAGCCCAGCCCTGCAAAGTCCCAGCTGACCCATCAGCAAGTCTTGCAGACTTTGTTTCCTAAAGGTTTCCTCACTTTTACCTTCCGCTCACTCTGTCTTCTCCATCCCATTTCAGTCTTTTATCACATCCCACCAGATCTGCCTAGACCTTCCAGCCTGACCTCCATACGTGCACCTTGAAAACTTATTCCTATAGATCCCAATTATACCTTCTCACTTCCAGCCTGAGGTCTCTCCATAATTTGTGGTTGGTTCCCAAAGAACCAGCCAGAGCCAGTGTCGTGAGCATAGTGTTCAGTGCCATCTCTTATTGGTCACTTGCAGCTTAGAGCTTTACCTGCCATAGACCCTCTGTTGGCTGGTCCACAAACAAATCACGTTGCTTCTCATGGCCAGGGCTTTGCTCAAGCTAGTCACTGTGTGCAAATCATCTTTTACCTTTTTCATGAGACTTAGGCCAACTCACTCATGAACACTCAGTTTCCATGTTAGCTGTCTCACAGGTTACACGCCTAGAACCACCTTACTACCTTAGTTTCAGTCTTCTAAATCTCCTCTCCACAGTTGCACATAGCCCTGGAACTTGTTTAATTGTTCTTATGTTGCATCTCCCACTGTTTTCGAAGCTCTTAAAAATAGGTGCTATTTTATATTTATCTTGGAAGCCCTAATGTTGAACATTGAGCGCAGGCACTCAGATTGTAGTAATTATATGGTATCAGTAAGGCTAGAGAGGGGGAGAAGGAGAGGAAAAGAGAGAAGAGAGGGAAGGAAAAGAGACAGGGAAGGAGGAGAGGAAGGAAAGAGAGAGAAATTAGTTGCTTTGGGGATTAGTGTTTTGGGCCACAAATGTGATCTGGAAGACAGTAGAAGCAGGGAGATCTGCTTAGAGAAATCCCTTTTAATTCTGTAATTCTTGATGGAAAGTGGAGTCGTTTTTTATCATCTGTGAATTCCATTGCTGGGTGTGGTAGCTGAACTGAATTTCTTTGATTTATGTTAGATGTGAATAAATAAGATGATATAGATAGGCAGGCAGATTGATTTCAGGAAGGTATATTCTTGTATTTTCCAACCTACCTTTCTAACACTCAGAAGAGCCAGTTATTAGAAGACTCTTGAAGCAAATCTCACTCTGTGAATCTGCCAATTAGGGTCGCCTTTGTTCTATCGACAAGGAGAATATTTTTCTCAGGGAGCTGCAGACAGCTGTTGGGCAAAGAATTTTATCAGAGTTATAGGTCATAACACATGACAGTGCAGCCATAAGTAATTATTTCTCTTGGAGATGCTCACTGAGAGATACTCTTTTAGTCTAGAGAAAACCAAGGGCTTGGCCCTACTTCTGTTGCGTAGCTTTCAAGTAGCCAACAGACATCTCAACCTCTTACTCAACAGTGCTGTTCACTGCGTCTGACTCTGACACCACCGTGAGGGGAGTGAAGCTTGCACCAGCACACACTCTCGTGCTTTCACACGCAGGACAGCAGCGATGAGTGTGCACAGCGTTCTGCATCTTTTGTAGATGGATGTCTATAAGAAGACATTTCCAACTGAGCATTTGCGCATTTTGGCCAGAGATCAATAGATGAAGTATTCATAATGCTCTTTTAAATCAAATACACTTTGTAATTATGCTTGATTATTGACCAGTCCTTCATAAATAAAACTGCTTTATAACTCATATACTCAGACTGCAATAGTACTTGTAGACTCTCTCTTTATTTTGACATCCTTCGCTTCCTCACACCCCCATTCTTTTTGCTCCACCAGCCCAGCTAGCCCAGAGGCACCCCTCATGCTGTAATCATGGATTGGGGGCGCACAGGCCTCCTCTGGGTGGCCTCTTGGCTAAGTTTCTCTCCCAGGGTGAGTTATTCCCTCTCTCTTATTTCATTCCAATTATCTTGTTCGTGGTGAGACAGTGTTCAGCACATTCTACGGTTAGGAAATCCTTACTAAAGTACATTTCTCAATGTCAGAGTTTCCCAAGGACTTGCCTACTTCTTTTTCACCACCCATGTCAAAGTGATGGGTTACATTTCACCAAAGCAGAGGATTCAGGCGGGAATTAGAAGAGTGATGTCCTCTCTGGGTAGCTTACTCCCATCCCAGCCTTACAACTTTCTTTAGAGTCTTCTTGTATAAGGAGGTAAAACTAAAGACTCAATGTGCATGGCTCTACTGGGTCCTGTCTACAATTCTAATTACTCAGGAGGCTGAGACCCGGAGGATCATAGTTAGAAGCCAGCCTGAGCAGAAAAGTCTGTGAGACTCTGCTTAACAGCAAAATGCTGGAATAGAGGCATGGTTAAATTGATAGAGGGCCAGGAATGAACAAGAAAGCCAAGTAAAAAGACAAGGCTGTGAGTTCACACACACACACACACACACACACACACACACACACACACACACACGCACATACACTTTATCTTGTAAAATAAGAATATTTTAAACGTCAGGAATTTTTTTAGAAAATATTTTTACATTTATAGTCTTTTAACTGACCAACTTGTTACTAGGAGCTAAGGTATGATCTCATTCTGGAAAGCATACAAAAACACAGAAAATGTGTTTGCAAAACAGCTAAAATAAGCAAAGATAAGTGAATCTCTTAGAATTAAGAAATACAACTCAGTGTTTTGAATGTAAGCCCTGGATAAATAATTTTTTTTGTGGTATGAGAAATGTGGAGTGGGATAAAATGAGTATTTTCTCCTTGAAATGACCTTTTACATTTGATTTCTGTAACTTGTCAACGACGGTCAGAGCTCCTTGCGTTTGCATAGTGCTTTATGTTTTCAGCATTAGCTCTTGTTCTCCATAGTGAATCAGATGGAGCAGAACTATGTATCCTTTTGGTACCGTAGGACCCCAGCTAGATCACTTTTATAATTGTGCTGTTTTTGTTTCTTACTTCCTCTGGTTTTCAGGTTTCTGGGTAAGAAGACTATCTCAGAAGAGGAAGGAAGCAGGTCAGTCCTCGGGAGTGCTGTTTCCTCGCTGACCTCTGCAAGTGCCTGAGGTTCACTGTATCTGGGCAGATCTAGAAAGTCCACCCATGGTTTCGGGAGTGGTGTAAACCTGCACTGGCCCAGCGGACTTCTCTTGGTGTTGGTTTCTGGCTCCATGAAGAAGCATGGCGACCTCCAGAGCCACCTCAAGGTCCCCCCGGGACATCGCCAACGTGATGCAGAGGCTTCAAGGTAAGGAGCCGACCTGGCAGCTGGGCTTTACACCCCTCTGAAGGTTCAAGCACCAGGTTGACTCAGAGTACGTGTCATTGCCTTGGAAGTTTAGTTTTCAGTTTCATGAAACTGTAGCAAAGAGGACAAAAGGCTAGATGGGATGGCTTGTGCTTTGGCTCCCCAGTAAGTCCCTGCTGGCTTCCCTGGGTTAAGTAGAAAGACAAACGGGGAGCGCTTCGTGGTTTTGAATCTGTGTTAGGAACATCGGGCTAAGCATCCGCTGTCCACTTGGGGATGCAGGGTTGCTGGCAAATGTCATGGTTCTGGCCTTCGGTGATGGCCATGAGACGCAACAGCACTAACAGTGTCCTGACAGGGTTAGAGTGGCCCTCCTGGACAGACATTTGACTGGGTCATCAAAGTAAATTCAGAGCTGGGCACTGATGGCTCACACCTGTCATCCTAGCTGCTTAGGAGGCTGAGATCTGAGGATTGCGGTTGAAAGCCAGCCCTGGCAGGAAAGCTGTGAGACTTTTATCTCCCACAAAGCACTCAAAGAACTGGAAGTGGTGCTGTGGCTCAAGTGGTAGAGCACTTGCCTTGAGCGGAAGAGTTCAGGGACAGCGCCCAGGCCCAGAGTTCAAGCCCCACGACCAATAACAACAAAAAACAAAGTGATTTCAGAAGGCCTTCCTCAACTGGATGCCCTCCAATAGCTAGAATTATATTGTATTTTATTTATTAGCAAAATGAGGCAGAAGAGCCTCTGAGAGAGGCAAGGATGTGGCATGAATGGTTAATGGACCACAGCCCTAACTGGTACTCTTTCATTAACGTGTCATCTAGGAGGCAATTAACAGGGAGATGGAGCCGCCTGCTATATGAAGGCCTGGAGTCACATATGTATGGCGCTTGAATTCTGAAATAACCATCTGCTATAGATACGATTATGTACATAGAAAGATGTTGCCCCGATGACCCTTCTCCAGTGCTTAGAATATACGCATGAGGATATAGGCTTTCCCAATCAAGGGTGCTTTCACTCAGATGTTTTCCTGGAGAGCTTAAAATAGTGAGACATGTTTGTCATCTCCAGCAAGTGGTCGCTGTGGTTTTGTGTCCAGTTATCATCTTGATCTGCTGTGATCACACCTTATTTGCCTACAGCGTGTGTGGTGGTAAATTTCAGTGAATCATTCTTGAAATAAGATGGGAAAATAAGACAATGATGACTATTTTATAGACATGAGTCCATTTTTTTATTGTATGAGTCTGTTTCTGTAACATTCCTAGGAAATTAAAATGAATCTCTAGGGACAGAAAGCAAACCATAGGTAGCTTGGGGAAATGGGTGGAGAGTGATTACAGAAGAATACAGGAAATGCATTTAGTATAGGTTAATTATGCAAAATGAACTGTGGCATCATGATATTTTCTTTTTCTGGTCATGGGGCTTGAACTCTGGGCGCTGTCCCTCAGCTCTTCAGTTGAAGGCTCGCACTCTACTATTTGAGCCATAGTGCCACTTCTGGTTTTCTGGTGGTTGATTGGAGATAAAAGTCTCACAGACTTTCCTGCCCAGGCTGGCTTTGAACTGAGATCCTCAGATCTCAGCCTCCTGAGTAGCTAGGATTACAGGCGTGAGCCACCAGCACCCAGCACACCATGACCTTTTTATGCATGCATATATTGCATTTGTCCAGTTTCTCTCTCTTGTCCTCATCCTATTTCATGCTGGTGTCCTTTCTTCTTTCTCTCATGTCTTCTTTTTCCATATCTTACAAAAAAGAAAAAAAAATGAGGTAGGTTCCATATATGAGAAAAAAAATGTGGTAATTCTCTTGTTGAGTTGTATCTTCTATTTGTTTCCTTGCAAATGACATAACTTTGTTCATCTTTGTGGTAGAATAACATGCAACTGTGCACAATATACACTGTAATTTCTTTTTTTGGGGGGGGGTCCAATCGTGGGGCCTGAACTCTGGGCCTGGGCGCTGTCCCTAAGCTCTTCAGCTCAAGGCTAGCACTCTACCACTTGAGACACAGCGCCACTTCCGGGTTTTTTTCTTTTTGTTTATGTGGTGCTGAGGAATCAAACCCAGGGCCTCAGGCATGCAAGGCAAGCGCTCTAACACTGAGCCACCTTCCCAGCCCTACACTGTAATTTCTTTATCTCTTTGTTTGTTGATGTGTCCCTAGATTGATACCATCATTTGGTTATTCTGGATAATTTATTGTGGATAAGCAATGTGCAAATATCTCTATTTTAGGTGGTAGATTTCTTTGGGTATATACTTGTACCCAGGAGGGGTATGGTTAGAACACAAAATAAATCTCTCTCCCTACATCCTTGCTAACATTTGTTGTTGTTTGTTTTCTGGATGAAAGTCATTCTGACTGGAGTGAAATGGAATCTCAAGTTCATTTTGATTTATATTTCCCTGACAGCTAAATTGTTGAACATTAATCATGTATTTCTTAGGTGCATACTTGCTGTCTTTTTAGACCTGTCTAATACTGTTGTGTATTGCTTTGTCTTTTGTTGTTCAATTTGAGAGTTATGTATTTTAGATATTAATTTCCAGTCAGATAAACATTGGCAAGAGTTTTCTCCCATCATTTTGGCTGGCTCTTCAGTCTTGGAACTGTTTCTGTACACATTATGTGCAGAAACTTTTTAATTTGATATGGGCTCCTTTGCCAAAGTTTGCTATTATTTCCAGAAAGTCATCTAAACCTATATCTTGAAATATTTTTCCTGTATTTTAATCTGGCTGTCTCAGTGTTTTAGATCTTAGGGCTTTTGTTCATTTTTGTTTGTTTGTTTGTCAGGACCTAGGCGCTGTCCCTGAGCTTCTTTTCTTAAGGCTAGTGCTCTACCACTTGAACCACAGCTCTACTTCCTTACTTTTTCTGAGCAGTTCATTGGAGATAAATGTCATGAATTTTTCTGCCAGGGCTGGTTTTGAACTGTGATCCTCAGATCTCAGCCTCCTAAATAGCTGGGATTACAGGTATGAGCCATCAGTGTCTGGCTGCTTTTGATCCATTTACAGTTTAGTTCTGTTCAGGGTAAAAGACATGGTTCTAAGTTCCATTTTCTGTATGTGGATATTCAGTTTTCTCAGCACCATTTAGTTATGATAATGTCTTTCCTCCAGGGTCTGTTCTTGCCACTTATGTGAAGAATAAGATGGCTATAGCTGCATGGGTTCATTTTTGGGTCTTCTATTTCATTGGTCTACATGTCTGTTTTTGTGCCAGGGCTCTGCTGCTTTTATTTCTGTGGCTCTGTCATATAATTTCAAATCAGGTATCATTGGTGATTGTTCAGGATTGTTTTGGCTAGTTAGGGTCTTCTGTGTCTGTACATGATTTTACCATTGCTTATCTAGGATGGTGAATCCTGCCATCAGAATTTTGGTGGGGATTGCATTGAATCTGTAGGTTGTTTTCAGCAAATTAACTATTTTTTTTTGCAATATTAGTGAATGTAAGATGTCTATCTTTTAGTACTTCTTCAGTTTCTTTCTTCCTTGTTTTATCATTTTCACTGTAGAGGTCTTTTACCTCCTTGATCAGATTTATTTCTGTTTTATGTTTTCTTGAGGTTCTTTTGAATGGGATAGTTTCTTGAGTTCTTTCTAAGAATAGTTATCAGAAAAGCTACTGATTTTATATGTCCTGTATTGTGTTGAAAATTTTTGTCAGATCTATGAGCTTTTTGTTGGAGTCTTTTAAGCCTGTGGTCATAATTACCTGCCAGGATATTGATTGACATGAGGTTCTCACCAACTTTTTTGCCTGGGCTCCCTTGGAACTGTGATCCTCCTGATGTCTGCCTCTTGGGTAGTTGTACTTACAATGTGAGAAGAGACTGAAGGGTTCTGATATGTCTGTAGTGTTCTGTTTGGTTGTTTACTAGATGGAGAAGTGTGATTTTTTTTTTCTTGAAAATGTCTGGAGCCCACATTCCCATTCCCCACTCAGTTCAGGCCATTCCGCACTCAGTATAACACCAGTGCATCTAAGCACCTCGGTTGCTAAATATAAACGGCACCTGTGGAGACCCTGACAGGATTGCGGCGCGCAGCTTAGTGAGATAATAAACTTAAAGTGCCTTACAAACTCTACCTGCTCTGACCTGGTGAATTATTCTATGAGGAGAAGGACTTTAGAGGAGAAGGCAGTGCCTGATCACTTGATGAAAACTTTTCTTGTACAATTTTCTAGTCATCTGGATTGGGGGGGGGAGGGAGAATGTTAATAGCATTATACATTCTATGCGGTGTGAAACTTGTTGTTTTATTATCTAACAAAACAACTCAACTTTCTCCACATCAGAAGGATGTCTGACTAAGTGAGAATGCTGAGCCTTAAACCTCTGAAAGTATCTGTGACTCGGTGGCTGTTGGTGGCCAAATAGAAGAGCTGCATTGCTTCAGGTTGCCACATGGATGGAAGCGAAGTGAGATGGCAGGAAGTGGAAGTTAACAAATGGGCCGGTGGGTTAATAGTGCTGATGCAGAAAGCTGTCTCATTCCATTTCCTTCCAGATGCTGTGCAGCCAGAGGGCCTCGCCTTCCACGGAGAGAAGGCAGGTCATCTATCAAGGGAGGCTAGATGCTCTGCTCACCTGCTACAGAGCCTCCAAACAAGGGACCAAGGTCCAAATCAATGGAGGACTGGCTTTATTAGCCAGATAATTAAGACAGATGGACATTATTTGAGGAAACATGAATTCTTATTAGCTTAAATAGAGCCAGACGATATATTCAACATTCAAATCCCTAAGAACATTCTTCTGGAATCTCTTTTCACTTTGACTGTTTCGATAATAATGAATGTTATTGTAATTTTTTTCTGACCCTCGGGTTTTGTTGTCTTTTCAAAGCCATAAATAACTAATAGGGAGCTTTTATTAATGGCAACTTGGCTTTCCTATGTGGCTTATTTTGTCTAAAGCTATCACTGTGGACTTTTTTTTTCTGCTTTAAATTTTGATTCCCAGGGCTGGG